GTGTTTGTAACAGAGAGCCGTCCAGACATGAGTGGGAACCGTCACTCTGTCAAGGTCACGTTCTTCATCTTCATCGAATTCCCCTTTTTTCGGTATTCTGTAACTTGGAGTGGGAATAGTACCTGTGACAATGTAGGCTGTTGCTTTGTTTCTATCAGCACGGAGCTTTTCTTGTATAATATCCCGCAACTCTGTCTCCCACTCTTTCCAGTGTACACGGTTAAAACAGGCATCCATGGGTGCAGCGTTAGTCAGTGTAAACGTTGCCACACGGCCATCACCCACCTGGAAACTGTAGGGGTTTAGGTGCCCACGGTCATATCCTGTGTCCTTGTAGTCGTCATTGATGGCTTGGTTTACCTTTATAACACTAATATTGAATTCTGATTCTGAGCTCATCATTTCATAGTTATTGAATCCAGATATCTATAAAGGAAACAAGACACCAGTTATTCCAATTTATCCATCTATCCATTTGCACAATTTGAAGGTACCAGTAATTAATAGTGACCACACTTCTGACACAGTTCTGACTATTTTATTGATTAGTTCAGCTGTTTTTTTACTGTTTTGCAATAACTTGTTAGACAGCAAGGTGGCTTTGACTCAGCATTGAAATATGGAAAAAATGTTCATTATTGTCACATTTTCCGGGTCAACTTTATATAGAACCCAGGTAGAAAACGCCTTTGAAACGCCCTTCACTGGTGTACTGTAGCATTGCCAGATTCATTTTGGTCACACATGCAGTAAAAATGTCTGTTAAATGTAGTGTCATTTTAATTTAGGGCTAGCTAATAAAGTTATTCAGTTGCTAACCTAGTAAACGAGCTTATGCAACAAAATATTTTGAGTACAGAAAACCGGTATTTACCATGGTTAACATTAAAATGGATGTTAAAAATAGTAAATCTTAATGCCAAAATCAAAGTAAGTCAAAGTCAAATTTGTGCAATGTCAAGTAAACGTTTTAAAATAATGTTTATTATTTTGTCAAAAAATTAATCACGAAATTGGGGCAATAAAACATTAGGTAACAGAGAAACAGCATACATAGCATTATAAAATAGCATTATAAAATAGCATTATAAAAGCCTCTAGTGTAGTGCAGTGTGGTACCTGAGGTTGACTACAACCTTCTCAAGTCAGTGAGCAACATCATATAAGTAGTTTATGGCCACTGTTTGTGCTGCCAGATTAATCACTGCAAGAATCAAATAATCTTTATTGAAGAATACAGTGAAAACTATGGAGGGTGTTTTGTGGTAATAGTCAATAAATGAATATGTCATTTAAATTATTATTCATTGATATGTCATTTAAATGATTATTTAAATTATAATTTGAATTATACCAGCAACCATTAACATTATCTGTCAAAGTGACCCATTTTGCCTAAAAGTTGGATTCAGTCATTTCCACTAATTTGACTTAATTCAAAAATTAATTTTTGGAGTAGTAACTCAGTTCTTTTGAGTGTACTTAGATTTTTAAGTTGGGCTGATATAATTCAGGTTTGTTGCAGTAATTCATTTCCTGTGAGTTCATGATCACTACAAAAACAATGAATCAGTCCAAATAATTACGTTCCTTTAAAATTTTACCACAAAATCACATTAAATATTAATTTAACAGTCTTGTCTGTAATCATTTAACTGATTACTCAACCCACACATAACCAACATACAGTCGGCGTGGACGTTGTGTGACGTGGGCGGAGTCTGCATGTGGGAAAACAAACTGCAATATTGTGAAAAAAAGTGCAAAAAAACAAACACGTTTTTTGACGGATTTTTTTTTGCAGTGTTTGTATATATGTATATACTGTATACTGTATATTACATATACATATACATATATATACATATATATACACACATATATATACACACACACACACACACACACATATATATATATATATATATATATATATGTATGTATGTATGTATTAGTTTTCTGGTGCGATAAATATAACGGTCTCATGTCATTTATATATATATATATATATATGTGTGTGTGTGTGTACAAACATAAAATTTACATGACATATTTACTTATTGAATATCGACACAAACTCACAAAACACCTACGGAAAACTGGATTTGATAATATTAATTACTGACCTAATTACTGAACTTTTAGTCTACAGTGTCACAGACACAAGGATGATTACATCACAGCAAGTGTTCTAATCAATGTCCCAATATGACACCTTAATTAAAAAGTAATAAATCTTACCTGTGGCTCTATGAACCATTGGGCTTTTCTTGCTTGTGTATTGCCAGTTCTATGCTTAAATATGTATGCACTGTACAAGGGGATTCTGTGGTATTCTGAGTAAAGCGTAGCAAAAAAAGGGTTAGGGTGATTTCCATATTTTTGGCAAATTTTCTGAGCGTTCTCATCCATCCCTGTTGGCTCTTTTCCCTTATAGAAAAACTCACTACAGTTCTGAAAGCTTTGCACCACTTCTGCCTGAGCACTGAGTGCCCCCAGCAGAACACAGGTGAGCAGACAGAGAAGCACCATGATTTTCAGTTGAACTATCAGGAACACATTCGGTTTAAATACACAAATCCTCAGTGATACTTTTTGTGGGAGTGTCTGATATTAAGCCCTGAGTGTCACATGAGCAGGGCTGAGCAAAGGGGTGGCTAAAGGGCCAACCTACTGTCTACCACAACATTATTATTATTATCATTGTCAATATTATTATTATTATTATTATTATTGTTGTTGTTGTTGTTGTTGTTGCGATCGACATACAATGCCAAATTAAATGACCTGGCAATCTGGCAGTGACGTACACCTACTTTTTGTTTATGAATAGCCAAGGTCAGAAAGGTGGCAGTGTGGCAAATATCTAAGCGTATGTGGAGGAAAATATGTCTAGATTTCCATTGAGAGATATATAAAGAAAGCATTTTTACATATCAAACAAGTACCTGCAAGGCACACCCAGTCCACTTTTCCATAATAATTACAGAGAACAGCGGTAACCCTAAAATTCTGTTTTCAACCATTCACAATCTAGTTAATTCTACAATAGAGATGTTTGGTGTTGCTGCTAAATGTGAAGAACTAAAATTACTGGTTGCGGCCCAAATAAATGAATTTGAAACTATATGTGTAGATTGTTTAAACAATGTGGTATCACAGTTAAAATCATCAACATGTTCACTCGACCTTATCCCTACTGTAGTGTTTAAGCAAATACTGTCAGGGTCAGTGCCCGTCTGGTCCTGTCCTGTCCTGTGTGCCTTTCCCCTGTTTACTGTTAGCCACCCTGTTCAGTGTTACGCTTGTGTGTTTTTCCTGTTCTCCTGCGTGGCTGTATGGGCTGCGTCTGTGGCTTGGAGGCTGGTGTCTTTTGTCGTGAGTTTGAGTCCAGCCTCATCTTCTGGCATCTTGTTTAATTTGTTGGTTATATTTTCCTAATGTCTGGCATTGTTTGTTTCTTTGTTTGTTTATGTTTTTGCTTTGGACTGTCCAGCCCATGCCCTGTTTAATCATTTTCAGTTGTCTTCCCTGTCTGTCCTAGTGTAGTTAGCCTCGATGTCTGTTAATATTTCCTTAGCCTCCAGTGCTTGTTCATTGTTACACCCAGGTCAAACACGGGTACAAGCCAGTTAATTAAGAGCCGGGTTTCGGGAAAAGCGACCACGACGCCATATTCCTGATCCCGGAATACAAACAAAGGCTCATTCAGAAAACGGTAAAGTGGTGGACCGACCAATCTGAAGCTGAGCTGCAGGACACGCTGGATGACGTGGACTGGGACATGTTCTGGCTCAGCTCAGCGGACATCAGTGAATTTACGGAAGTCACCATCAGCTTCATCAGCACCAGATCATTCCCTCAGCCACCATTCAGACCTTTTCCAATCAGAAATGGTGGAAGCAGTAAATACACATACTGCTGCCTACAATGAAGCACTCAGCACCGGTGATATGGGATGGCACGTAGTCAAAGAGGCGAAACGCAGGTACCGAAAGGGGGTAGAGTCCCACTTCCAGCTCAACGACTCCCGCCGCTTGTGGCACAGTCTGCGCACCATTGGGGGCTATAAAAGTAAAAGCTCCATTGCTCCGAGCGCAGTCTCCATGTCGGCTGACGGACTTAACACGTTATACGCGCGGTTTGATGCAAACAGCAAGCCGTCCGCCGACAGCCTGCTAGCGCAGTGCAGCAACATCAGTGGTGAACTCCCAGTGTCCGTGACGTGCGTGTTGCCCTGCGGCAAGTAAACACCAGGAAAGCTGAGGGACTGGATGGCATCTTCAAACGTGTACTGCGGTGCTGATGTGCTCACCCACATTTTCAGCGAGTGTCTGGTTCAGTCTGTCGTACCTCCGTGTTATAAAAAATCCACAATCGTCCCGGTTCCAAAGAATAACATGCCCTCCAGCCTCAATGACTCACCCTGTGGCCTTAACATCTCTTGTCATGAAGATGTTTGAGAGACTTCTTAAGAATTTCATCTGCTCTTCCATCCCCAACTCCATGGATCTACTGTAATTTGCCTACTGCATCAACAGATCCGCCGAGGACGCCATCTCTCATGTTTAACACACTACCCTGACTCGTGTAGATGGAAAGAGAGGGAATTATGTGAGAATGCTGTTTATAGACTACAGCTCAGCATTCAACACCATAGTCCCCCTCAGACTGTTCAGCATGCTGAGGAATCTGGGACTGAGTGACCAGCTGAGCAGATGGATTCTGGATTTTCTTACAGGAAGACCCCAGGTGGAGAGAGTTGACAACTGTTTGTCCAGCGCAATCACCCTCAACACGGGAGCCCCGCAACGCTGTGTTTTGAGCCCACTGCTGTACACCCTCTACACTTACAACTGCGTAACCACACTCAGCTCAAGTTCCTTCATGAAATTTGCTGATGACACAGTAGTGCTCGGCCTCATCTCCAACAATGATGAGTCAGCCTACTTGAAGGAAGTAGAGAACCTGGAAAAGTGGTGCCAGGATAACAACCTCTAACTGAACGTCATCAAAATGAAGGAACTGACTGTGGACTACAGGAGACAGCAGGGCTCTTACCCACCTGTCCACACCCCCGTGCTAGAACCTCCCGAGTCCATGACAGATCTGCCTTGCCCTTCCTACAAGACATTTACACCAGCCGCTGTAGGACCACAGCACTAAAAATATTCAAAGACCCATCCCACCCCAATAACTCTCTGTTCTGCCTGCTGAACTCAGGCAAATGGTTCCGCAGCCTTATGACCAGAACTGAAGGGTTGAAGAGGAGCATTTTTCCCCACATCATAAGGCTCCTAAACCAGGACAAGTCTCAGTGCCCCTAGGTCTTCCACAGGACTCTACAGCAACTCTTCAGTCACTGTAACACTGACATCAGACAGACATCACACTGTGCACTGATTACATGAGCTCTGATTACATTCAGTTTATACTGTCTACATTGTCGGTACATTTCTCAAGTCTCTTGAACATTGTGCTTACTGTATATTGCACAGCACAATCACTTTGACCATGTCACTTATGTATAGATTATGTCCAGCTGAATATTGTCATCTTTATATTTTGTTATTCTCTTATCATGCACAGCTGCTCGGAGCGTCGAGGGTTACATTTCACTCAGTTGTATGTGACGAATAAACCACTTGAATCTTGAATTGTAATTTTCCCCACGTGATACTTGTTGCCTTGTGATTGGTTGAGTTATGGTTCCCACCTATCCTGTGTTATGTCTCGTAAGTTGTATATTTAAGTGCCTACTTTTGTTCAGTTCCTTGGTGGTTCATTATGGCTGAATCCATGGGTAGCAGTTTGTTAGCTGTAGTGATCAGTTCTCCCTGTTAGTTATTGTAGTTTTCCTGTGTTTCGCCTGTCTTTAGTATTGTTGTAACTGGTGTTGCTCCCTGCCTTAGTTTATTTTTATCTCTTAAGTTCTGACCCCTCGCAGTCCCTTTATTTTCTTGTTCGTCCCTTCTGTTTGTTTTGTAAAATAGACCCCTGGTTAGTTGAAACCATTACATACATGGACTGTCTCTCTTTTCATTGTCTCTGGCCATAACAAACATTTTCTTTATTCACTGAGTAGGTACTACATACTTTTAATAAATCACTTCAAAGTGGCACTTTAACAGATTTGACTGATACTTAAGAAAGCATCCTTAGATAATACACTTCCTAATACTGTATACTGTAGGCCAATTGCTAATCTTTCTTTAATGAGTAAAATTTTAGTTATTTACCTTCAGGTTAATGATAAAATCTTTATTTGCCATTTGCACAAGTATATTGGAATCATTCTCCCCATATTGCTCTTCATAGCTGGGGGGGTCACAGCGCAGTCTCAGCCAATGTCCACTGTCCCTGGGGCTGGTGGTTAATGGCTTTGGGGTAGTTTGGTGTAGTTTTGAACTGGTTTAAAACATACATAACAGGCAGAAGTTTTCAGATCAAATTAGGTGCTGGGGGGGGAGTTAGCATGATTCCAATGACTCCTGATTGACCTAAATCTTTTAGAATAGAATACAATCCTTTTACTTACTTATAAAACACTAAATAATAATAATAATGATAATACATTTTATTTATATAGCGGTGTTACATGAACTTAAAGATGCTTACAGAGAAAGTACACAAAAAACACATTATGCATATGGAAGGTTAAATACCTTAGCAAAAAGAAAGGTTTTTAGCTTGGTTTTAAAATCTGAAACAGAGGTCGATAAACAGATAGCAGTAGGGAGTGAGTTCCAAAGGCGGGGAGCTAAACGGGAGAATGCACGGTCACCATAGCTATGTAATTTGGAAGGGGGGATGAGGAGAGAACCAGTAGAGGAAGATCTAAGACTGAGGAGAGGCTGGTAGGGTAGAAGCAAATCAGTAAGGTATGATGGGCCTTCGTTATTAAGAACCTTGAATGTCAGGAGCAGCATTTTAAAGTGGATGCACTCTTTTATAGGAAGCCAGTGCAGGCTCTGCAGAATGGGTGTGATGTGTTGGTAGGAATGAGTGTGAGTCAGGAGACGGGCAGCAGAGTTCTGAACTATCTGAAGTTTATGGAGAGATTTAGCGGAGATACCAGCGAGTAGTGACTTACAGTAGTCAAGACAGCTAGAGATAAAAACATGAATGAGGGACTCGGCAGCAGAGTTTGAAAGGTATGGCCTGATACGGGCAATGTTACGGAGGTGAAAGTAAGCTGTTTTTACTATGGCATGAAGGTGTGCATCAAATGAGAGGGTTGGGTCAAAGGTGACACCAAGGTTTCGAACCAGAGGAGATGGAGAGATGGTAGTGTCGTCCAATTTGAGGGTTATCGGGCTGATTTTGCTAAGTGTGGATTTTGTCCCAAAGACAATTAATTCAGTCTTATCACTATTGATTTTTAGAAAATTATGGCTCATCCATAATTTGATTTTAGAGAGGCAGGATTCTATATGTGTAAGTGGGAGGGTGTTTATGGAGCTGGAACTAACATAGATCTGGGTGTTGTCAGTGCAAAGGTGGAAATTTAGGTTAAAGCGGTGAATGATCTGGCCTAGGGGGTGAATGA